CGGAAGCGCGTCGGTGAAGAATATATTAAATTTGAACAAAAGTGGTGGTTCACACCCACGGGTTGAAAGAGAAAAGTCACATTTTAGCGGGAGAAATTTCGTTTCACGATTTTTCACGACACATCCTTCGCCGGCCAAATCATTTATCGACAATCCTCGAGCAACGAGCAAAATTAGAAACGAGGAAGAAAAGATATATGGATAATCCAAATAAATCTCGCACATTTTCTACCGGTGACGTTTCCCCGCGAGAGGGATATTTTTCCTAAGACATTCGGCCAACGTCACAGGCAGATAAAAGAGGAGCGACTCGGCGAAGAAGCAGTGAACTCTCCTTGAGAGCTGTGCAGTCGAGCGTTGGCTCGAAAAATCGACAGTTTCTTCTATTTGCCAGCTCGCGCTTTTAAGATCAAAGAATGAGGCCTTAATTAGTAAAAGAACAGCGAACACTCGCTGCGTGAACGTCTCGACGTTCTCTTGTAAATATACAGGGTGTCATAGGTCAACCGTGTCTATCTTTTACAACGTTACCACAACAAGAGAAATTATACTTGAAGATGGGACTGGCGGCTACGAAACTTTTGTTAGATGCGGTTACAACTATACTGTACGATCGACTCTGTATCGACCCATGGAGCCACCAAGTGCCCGATTTTCAACATCAATCCGATAAACGAAAAACAAATTTCTCATGTAGTAATTGACAATATTGATTTACTATATAACTCGATCGATGTAACTTCCAAAATCACGCGCAAAACTAAGTAAAAAATGACAAATTACACAAAAACTTTGGCACGAAAGTTAGCGATACAAACATGGGAATATATATGAAATTTTGTATCTTACGTGACAAAAATGTCCAATGTCCTCTGTTTATTTAAGTATATTCAAGTATATTCTATAGCATCTTTATGCAACGATATACCGCGTATACCGTGCATTGTAATCTTGTACAAAAATATGTGCGTCATTATACGAGGGCACGCGCGACGTATATAAAGGCGCACCGAGTGCTATGCGGAGGAGAATGGCGTTTGTCTCGCGTTCTTACGTCGATTTTTCGCCGAGATACACATGTTAGGAAACACTAAAGTTTTTCAAAGCGGCGTGCTGTTCTTTGCCGCCGAGAGACCGATGCCGCGCCCGCAGTCCACCTTTGACACCTTTCGATTCTCTGGTGGCTTGCGCGATATGAGCGACGCGCAATATTGTCGTCGGGCCTGGGAAAGGCCCGTCAAAAAATTCGCCGCTCGCCAATATATCCGTGTAGAAAAGTCGCAGTGACGTAAAATAAATTGCATTCGAACGCTAATATCGGTCCGATTCTAATGAGAAATACGATTGTTTCTCAAAATAAGAGACTCAGTCGTCGTATTGTAGCATCTTTTACGAAACACGAACATGGTTGATCAGAGACACCCTGTATGTACTTATCAAACGGAGCAACGTTTCTCGCCCGAGAGACCCTTAGGTCCTCGATGAAAGGACGCACCCGTATAATATTCCTCCTGCATGTCTCGCGTTCTCCTTATCCTTGAGAAACTTTGGTTAACGCTTTGACAGAGTGTTAGAGTGAACACGATGATGAGCCAACAATCGGAGATTGAGCAAGGTCTCAACGAAAGAAAGCATAGAGACGAGTACCCGGGTGGTATATCGTTTCATCGTAAATACAATTGAAGCGTTTTCGTCCTTTCGTGAGAAAGCCGCCGTGCAATTCCGAATTAATATATATAGTTACGTTAAATGAAAGAAAAAAGCGTGTGTACACACACACACACACACACACACACACACGTAATACGTTTCAGTCGTCGCATCCAATGTCTCAGAGATATCGCGACACCATCTCCTGCACCGGTTCCGGCCCAGGCAGGATATTTCTTTAATAATCGTGAGTTACAAGCGAGACGGCGCAATACACGAGGTTTACGATCATCAGACCCGAAGGGGTTAAAGAATTTATTTCGCACAGCGATGCGTTCTCGCTTCTCTTGGTTCGCAACGGGCGCCGTTGGCAATAGGGCATTCTACCCTACTTTATGCACATAATAAATAGAATACGAGCGGTGCACGTATACACAAACAGACACACGCACACACAAACGAAGAGACGCGTCGCGCTTTTATACGGCGATCTCTGTATGGAGAGACCGGTCAAATATAGATTCTATTTTTGTATGGCCCGACATAATAGTGGGTCAAGACGAGTTGCGCAGATAGAAGGAGATTCCTATTCCTATTGTGCGGAACAGAGGGGATAGGACGGCGAAAGGGCGGCGGCGGAGGAGAGGCGGAGGGGAGAAGGGTGGAAGGACGGCACGACAGGGCAGAACTCCAATATTCGGAATTTATAACCCCTCGTAACTCAGTCGGTTTCTGCACCTAATACCAACCGACTTGCTTGCCGTACCCACTGGTTCGCGCTAGTTCCTTCTGCGAGCTCTTCAAAATGATTTCACTGCCGCGCCTCTTTATTATCGTCATCCCTCCACGCGCTCGTACGCGGCGAGCATAAGCGAATAGACGAGCTGAGCCTCCTGCTCGCTCCTAAGCCTCGGCTGCGTGAGTTTACACGTACGCACGACTTTGCGAGAATATACTCTTGTCACTTTAGGTGCAATCCTATGTTCGACCTCATTGCGAGACGAGTGATTTATTCCCTATGTGTGCCTTTGTTTATCTTCGTAGATTCTTCCGCCGTAAAAAGAAACAAGCAACGTCACACCAAAGCTAGCAAGATATACATGTTTCATTAACATCAATTAATCGAATCAATCGCGACGAGATCAAGGTCATTGCAAAATAGAGTGAAAGATGTAGAGGCTCGTGTGCTTGCTTGCGAAGAATTTTTAAACGATATCAAGAATCGTGGGAGATCATTGAATCAGATCGACCGAAAAGTCCGCGGGTGAAAAGTGCCCCGATAGAACCCAAGCACTTCGCACAAGTGTATTTTACTGCAACACTCGGCCGGAAATTCGGCAGAATGAAGGAGCAGAAGAGAGAGCTCTCTTCCTTTCTCTCCCTCTCTTTGTCTCCCTCTCTTTGTCTCCCTCTCTTTGTCTCCCTCTCTCTCTCTCTCTCTCTCTCTCTCTCTCTCTCTCTCTCTCTCTTCTCCCTTCTTCTTAGAGTTGGGCTTCATTTCGCGGAGTATCGCGTCGCTGGAAAAACAGGATGGCGATGGTAGCGTATCGATTTCGAATTTGTGTATAAGCGGCGTATCGATCCCACCTCTTCAGCCCGGGAGGTATTATACACCAATAAATTCGCGTAATCGCATATCTCAGGGCAATCGCGCTACGTAGACGGAGAGAGGCGCTCTCCTGGAGAAAAATATAACTTCGCCAGGGATTCCCCGGGGCTCTATACATTCGCCTTCTTCTGTGCTTCCGCCTTCGAGGCCATGACTTCCGCCCTTTCCACTAGCCGCCTACCCCTTCATTTCCTCCCTCTCTCTCTCTCTCTCTCTCTCTCTCTCCCCCTCTCTCTCCCTCTCCCTCTCTCTCTCTCTCTCTCTCTATCTCTCTCTCACCACCTGCCGTATTTTAATGGCCAGTCATAAAGCACAGGAAAATTAAAAATTCATACCGACGAGAATTTAAGAGTCGTCCGCGCGTTTACGCTCTTTGCTCCATTACGTGCATGTTTGCATCGTGAACATAAAAATATTCACAGTTCGTGCTATGTGTGGGCGGGATATGCGCGATAAGCGTGGGATGCATTAATAAAGTCCTAACGGTTTAATACCGTGCAGTCGGGCGTTCAATTGTCCGAACGCCGTCGGAGGGGCCTGGTTTGAGATCGACGTGGAATTAGTGTGTTTCTCGCGACAAGCGACTGATCGTCTTAGCAGCGCCCGTATAGAGAGAAAGAGAAACGTAAAAGTACCTTCTCGCCGCATAATTAACGGAAATGCACAAGCTTCCCGTGGCCTTCCTTCTTCGCGATATATGCCCGTCTTTTCCGCGTTTTTCCCGCTGTGCCACGGCCGGCAGCGTGATGCGGCCCGGAAATGCTACACCGGAAGGCTGAACCGTTGCAAAGTCTCGGCGTGACCTCGGCACGGAGACGCTTCTCTCGCGACCCACTTTCATGCTTTTCGCCTCTGTATTTCTTTCTGTATGCCGAGCTGCTCGCCACCGTCCATCTCGCCTTTCCTTCCGTAGTTTTAAATCACCCGCATCGGTATATTTTTGCGCCTACCGGCGGCTTTCACGCGACGCGTCCCGTTCTATCGAGGGGAATTAAAACGGCAAGCATCTGCGGCGGGACGAATCCGCGAGCGTAATCCGAGAGGGTGATTGCGGCTACAAAGTAGTTGGCGCCGGTCACTATCGCGAAAAAGTAGCGAAGAACAATTAATACCCCGTGGAATTCCCCGCGAGGGACCGGTCGCCGAGAGATGACGGTGCGCAGACCGCACCGGCTTTGATGTAATTATCGCGGGATTATGACTTGCGAAAAGTTAATCTGTTATTTCAACTTTCCCAGTCCGTATATTATTTGTGTGATTTGCAGTTTTTTTTTTTAATGCCGCTCGACTTTTTCATTCCGCGTGGATCTGCGCGTATTTAAGAGAACTTATCTCTTTTGCTCTTCGTCTGAAATCACGCGTATATTAAAAGATATTCAAACGAATTAATTAGAGCGGTTATGTTGACTAACCGTCTGGAAATGTAACGGTATCGGGACGTTATAACAAGAGATTCCCGTATTTTTCGAGGTTCCAGCCTCTCTGCGGCTCGAAACACCGGTCAGAGGGTTTGTTATCGTTGGCGCTTAATTATCAGCGAGGACTAAAGCGACTTCGAGCGCCGCTGCCGTCGTCGCGATCCACCGCGGCCTCGCCGCGAAATCCGGGATTTTGTGCGTTCGCGCCGTCGCAATAACAATAATATCTCTTCGGCGGTTTATGCGAAATCCCTTATCGCGACTGTGACGTATCTGACAAACGTCAGCCGCGCGTGCTGTTATTGTTGGTACTTAGGACTTACCGCGGAATGGGTGTCTGGAGGAGGATCATCCCACATCTTTCCCGTCGCCGGCTGGTGGAAAAATCAACTTTCGAACGCAACGGCCGTCTGACGATCCGGACGCTGAAACAGGAAGGGAAAGGAAAACGAGATATTAGCGTTAATTAGCATAAGACGCGCCTATATATGTGTTATAATCGCGCGATTAAATGCAAAACGCGGGACGGAATAGTCCTTTGTGTTATTAAACACAACGACGCCTCTCCTCCCTCCGTAGAAGAGATCTGGGTCCTCTCTCGATACATAAAAGCGACTGACGTCACGTATATAATAATACATAACGGTAGATAAGCACACGAATCTCGTGATTCTTCGCTGGTTCATTAACGGAAGCGCCGTAATTATTATCGTAACGGCATTTGACGTAGGTAATGCAATCAGCAGCTCCCCGCTTCTACCGCCTCTAATCGATTTTAATTGGCGGTTAGCGAAGGGTATGAAATCGCTTTTATGCTTAGATTACACAAAGCTCGTGTAACTCATCGCACGATGTGAAATCGGTACGACGCACGGCGTAAAATTCCCGCAAAGTCGTAGCGCGAACTTGCGCGAATGCGCGGACTTGCAGATGGCAGAAAATGAATAATAGATGATCGACGGAATTCTATGCAGCACGTTAGATGAGAAAAGACACGCGGTGATACTTCGGTCGGTTGTACAGCGCCGATCGATAGCTCAGGTACATTGTACTCTCAGTCTCGCGAGGACAGAAAATACGGTAAACTTAATTATTACGACGGGATCGAGAGTCGGAAGCTGAAAAGAGGAGGATGTCTTTTTCGGAAGGGCATTTTATAAAGTATAATATTTGAACGTGCAAATGTAGTCTCTAAAGTAAGAGCGTGCACGGTATAAATGGCAGTTGGCTTCAAATATCGTCCTAGTTTTTTTGTGAGCCGATAGATGAAATCTTTGTCGTGAATGCTTTGTCACAAAAGATTCAGTTGGCGTCGAACTCTAACCTGAGAAACACGTTAACCATGCGCCATGAGTGCCGCATACGCATCGCGCTACGAGGCTGTGTTCCTTTGTTCCCACCCCAAAGGACCAAAAATGTCATATGCAGAGTGGCTGCTAAATACATGGGGAAAGTCAAAATCGTTCGTCGCTAAGTGGGTTCAGCGATATAAGAAGATCAAAAATGTCGATGACTTGCTAGAACGTGGCTCGATAGGCAAAGTGACGCCGAATATGGAAAAAAAATTGTGAATTTGTTTAAACGGAACCCGAACTCAATGCTTAAAATTTATGAGAAGTGTTTGTTGCCGACTGCTAAACGATGCTTCATAAAAAAAAACGAGGACTGGATCTTACAGGAAGACAACGAGCCAAAACACCGGAGCAAGCTTTGCACCGAGTGGAAAGAGCAGTCTGGCATCGTCACACTTGATTGGCCATCGCAGTCGCCAGATGCAAATCTCATTGAAAATGTGTGGGCATATCTCAAGCACAAGCTTCGAGGAAAAAGAGTGTGCACTTTGAAGCGGCTGACACGACAAATTCGTCTCATTCGGAGGTCTTTACCGAACGAATACGCAGTCAACTTAGTGGAAAGTATGCCTCGGAGATGCCAGGCAATTATCAATGCCGGTGGTGACTGGACTCATTATTAATGGTATAGCATTTTTCTTCTCATGGAGTACAACAAATCCATGTACTTAAAAATCATTAAAAATAAATTTTTCTACACATTAACCCGTGCACGCTCTTACTTTACAGACCGTATGTGTGTGTATGTGTGTGTGTGTGTGTGTGTGTGTGACACGTAGCGAAATCAATCACTTTGGCAAAATATTTCCCCACAAACTGATGTATTATGTTTCTTTTTTTAATAATAATTAGACAAGCAACGAAACGCAAATTTAAATTCATCAGCGTAAAATGTGACATTTATTATCGGAACGAAAACCGTGTCAGCCGACCATGTGCAATAGTCACATTTCTCCCGGACGTAATCACAATAACGGAAGGTTAATCGCGCAATCGACGTGTAAATTATAAATCCAATCGCGAGCGGAATTATCGTTGGCTTTTGTAAACGAAAACCGGTCGCGTGCGCTTTTTCATAGACACGGCTGGTGGCTCATGATGATCGATACGGGCACGACAACAACAACGACGACCAGCAGTTTTTAAGCTATCAGAGCATTCTCTAACCCTCTCGCTTTCGTAGTTATTTTATGGCTCTGTACCCCGACACACGTGCACATCCTACACCTACACCAAAAATACATGACGTGTCAGCGGTCCGTTTGGCGCGTACAGCTTGTCCCTATCACCTAACCGTCCCTAATTTAGTCTCCCCGCGCCGACGGAAGAGAGTAAATTCCTATGTTCATTCGGTACTTGCAGCATCCTGAACCAGTGTCTCCCAATTTAGCGGGACACCCTTCGGAATTTGATGAAAAACCGCAGAGCCGTTACTCGGGTTTTCACTTAAAATGATAATTTCCGGCGGAAAGCTCGTATTTCCAATTCGCGAGATTTCGGGCGCATACATATTCTAAGTATATCGAGCTGGTAAAAATATTAAGGTGCAGAATATTCTAAGTAAATGAAGACGCGGATATAAATATTAATACATATGAGCGCGTATTTATAAAGAAGCATTTACATAGCTCTTTTTTAAAGCGTTACTTTACGAACTTTATAATTTAGATTTCGATCGAAATGTAGCATGTATGTACTTGAAGAGGTATAAAGATTGGTCATAATACGATCGACGTGTTACGACCAGCCGACAATGGTATTTATTATTTTATTCTTTTTGATGAAGGCTTTTTTCATCCATTGCCTCGTTTCGTTTGGGAGAGACACTGCTCTAAACGAGAGGTCTCTCTCTCTCTCTCTCTCTCTCTCCCTCCCTCTCTCTCTCTCTCTCGGGATGGACCACTTTGGAAACCGTATTTATTTCGAGGAGGTGCGTTTGCGAAGAATCGCTTTGGGGTTAATTTTATCTACTAAGATGTTTGGACAAGCGACAGGATCAAGTTTTGAGAGAAAAGAGTGAGTTTCGTGGGTCGCAGCACTCCCCACAAAACCGCTCGCAAGGATCGACGATGGGGTTTCTGTTTTTCTAGAAAAGGGGAGTCTGTCTTTTCTTCCGTCGGAACACCGTTTTCGGATGTCTCATACGAGCAGCACGGCTGGCATCCGCGAGAACTCAATAATGGTCGGTCAGTTTGGTTTTCCCGGGAAGAATCGTTTCGCTGATAACTCAAAATATCGCCCGTGATGCCGGTAATATTGTACACCTCGCGAATTTCACGAAGGAACGTCGTGCACACTCGCTTTCGCGCGCGTCCTTCTCTTTTTAAGTTCGTTAAATCGGCGGGATAAAAATCTACAATTATAGAATATCGCACTCACAGGGAAACGATAATAATCAATGGAATTGACGCATTTGTTCTGTCATTGATTTATTGGCGCGTGCAAACATCTTCCTTTGAATAATAATGAGCATCGAGTCTATTTTTACCGAGTCTTTTAAATAATAGGCGGATTTTGAAATTCTAATGACTGAAATATATCGTATGGATGTGTTACTAAATGAAAAATATTATACTGTTTTCTTATTGTAAAGTGTCTCCTTGTTCTCGTCCTTTCTTTATACAAATCTAACACAAACAATTGCCGAGATATTATTAATTATGCATACTGATCATCTAACTGGAATCGCTCAATGTTTTGCTATGATCTTTAATGCGGAGATCATTATTATTCACGAAACATGAGAAGACCCCTTATAGCAATTTGTAACAGCATACATAATATCATGCTATAACGCTAATATCGTATTGACGTTATACGATACGTTAATATACGATATTATACGATAATATATGATACGTGATTCGTGTTCCCAGACATCAGCAGAACACACGGTATTTCTCACTTAGCATAGGCTTCACAAATACCAACAGTTGTTCTTAGAGGTGCAATAAAAAAGCCCGTCAACACGGATTTTCCTGTGTATCGCTCGGGTGAGAAATACTCGGTAATGCAACAGCTATTCTTCCCCAACGATCAATTCCTACAGATGTCAAAGTAGACGTTTATTTTTATACTCGCAAAGCTCTCTCTCTCTCTCTCTCTCTCTCTCTCTCTCTCTCTCTCTCTCTCTCTCTCTGTCTCTCTCTCTCTTTCTCGCTCCACGATATTGTACAACATTACAGGCACTCGATTATTTTCGATATCACCTTCGCAACTAACGACGTTCACGCCACGACGAAGCTGTCGTCCATAATTACAATCCCCATCACCGTCTTCTTCAGCGGTATTCGGTATTCCGTTTAACGAGCGACGCGCGATATTCTCCAGCGTCGACAATAAATGAGTTCGCGATAAAGAACGGTCCTCTCGTTCGATGGGGTACGCTGCCTAAATAGTATTTCCATCCCGTCGGCCGATATACCCTGGGAGATATAAGTGCATTTTGCATCGAAGCGCGCGTACACGAGGGCGAGAGAAAGAGAGGATGGGAGGGAGGGAAGTAGGTAGGTAGGTAGGTAGGTAGGGGAGAATCTTTCGTGCGATTTGCATACGAGCTACGTGCCGGCGATACGTCCGATAGATAGCTCACGTACTTCCACCAGAGAGACGGTCGATTAACTTGGAAATTATGAAAAAATGTAAAAAGCAGAAAAAAGAAACACGCGGGCCGGTCGCCGTGTCGCCGTTGTCGTTTCGACCAAAATCACCTGGAAGATTCGAGGACGGAAAGGTAAAAGAAGAAAGAGAGAGAAGAGAAAAGAGAGAGCGATAGAAGGAGAAAAGAGGCAAAAGAAAGAAAAAAACAGAATAAACGAGATGCGTAAGCCATCATTATAAAGCCATTTAGCGTGCACCGGCCCGCGTAAAAATGCCCGCGTCAAATGGTATTCATGAGACCTCGGCTAATGTATTCGGATTATTTGAATAAGGCGGCAAGCTGCACCAGCGCGACTCATTCCGCGTTGCAGTTCTCAAAACCGTAAGCGACCATGTCTGAAGCGGCAAGTCGGTCGAGTCTTGAAAAGAAAACACGATCGTGCGCATCATTTGATGGAGGCATGCGAATCGCG